AGCTTAGTTTATAAGGCTCAGCCAACCCACGTAGCTGGTTGGAAATCACTTCAAATTCTGACTTGTAGGCTTCTACTGTGGACGTTTGCTTCAACCGTGTTAGGTCTGCCATAGGGTCTTCAAATGCAGATGGGCCAAATCTAGTTTGAAGGGAAGTTAAGAATCCCTCCCAACTAGTTATCCCACCCGTAGCTTCTAAATCTTGATACCAAGAAAGAGCCTTCCCTTCCATGTGGAATGAAGCCAGAACCAACCTATGTAGAGGGTTAGTTTGGTTGTAGGCAAAAAACTGATTTGCCCTATAGATCCAACTCTTAGGATCCTCTCCATTAAAACGAGGAAAATCCAGTCTGGCAGAACGGACTTGAATACCTCCCAAATCTTCAACGGGTTGAATGTGGGCTATGGGATTCGAATTTACTTGTTGACGTGCACTGTTTATGGGTTCTGGTTCTTCTACTTTTTTGCCTTGCTGCTTCACAAGAGTGGCCATATGACTGGAGAGTGTCTGCATCTGTTGGGTTAAAGCCTCCATGGTCTATTGGTGCTCTGCTTGAAATTGCAAGAACCTCTGTTCAGTAGCTTCCTGTTGCGCCACCTGAGACTCCTTCAGGTTGGCGATTGCCTTCTCCAATTACGTATTCCTGGTCTCCATTAAAGGACAACCTGGCTCTGATACCAAAATGTTAGGAATCAACTTGATATATGAGTGAAAAAGAACAATGAATGCTGAATCATTTCGAGGGGATTCACCTCCAAACACCTGTGATGGTGCAACTTGCCAGATAGATGCCTTTTTTCATATATCTTCAAGGTTAAATACAAAACAAATGACCACAACTTCCAGTTCCCCACGTCTTCCTCTAACAGACTCTACTTCAGAAAAATAAGGAACATGACTACTGCACTACAGACTCTTCCTAAAGACTCAGACATGACTGTGGACTCAGTCAACTCTGGTATTTATTTCTACTACTGGACTGGGTCAAGCATAACCCATTGGACTTCATTAACTAATGACCAAATACAATACTTAAAGGAATTAATAGGAAGACAGACTGACCCAATAACTGGAAGACAAACCAGCCCATAAGCCCACAGGTTCTTACAAAACGGGACTGGGCGCCCCCCCTTCACCCTCGTCCCACCCGAGATGGGGCGGTGGGGTGACTTTTTGTCTCGTTTAATTTTTTTTTATTTTCTTTACATATTTAAAGTTTCAAGTTATGTTATTATTAAAGAATAAAATACAAATTCAAAATGAGCTTTTAACGGGTGAATTGTCTAAAAATAAAATTATTTTTAATTTTTTTCCTTCACGGACGCCCTACGCCTGTGGCCCGCAACGGGCCGCCCTACCTTGCCCTGCCCCGTCAGCCCATTCGGGGTGGATTTTTTGCCCCATACAGGATGGATCATGTTGAGGCGAGTTTTTTTGCCATCACTATTTAGATGTTACACTTTTTGAAATAAATTTAATACAATTTCTTTGTGTTTATTATTTATAAAGTCCCACATACTCACATGAGTTGGCCGTGTATAAATAAAATCAATAAAAGCACATTAATATTATTTCCTATTATTTTCTTTTATTTATAATAAGATATTCTTTGAAATAAAATATTTATTAATTTCACGTTGATTTGAGTGCATTTGATTGACTTTATTTTCATGAAAGACGTCATTTTTTGACCAAATTTTTACTTTTGAGAAGTTTGATTGACAATTTTTTCATGAAAAAATATTTTTCAACTTTTGATCATTTAACCATATTTTTTTACTAATTTTTATTTGACAGGTAATTCACTTTCCATTTCTTTCTCTCATCTATCCACTAACAAAAAAAGGACAAGTCTACTATTTTCTAGTTTGAAAAATAAATAAATCAAATATATTTAATTACTAATTTATATACAAATAACTTCTAAACAATTGAATTGCTTAAAATTTATTTTGTTTACATAAAACTTTTTTTTTTTTTTTGCTAATAATCAAACGCACCCCTATCTATAATAAGCTATTTTGCAACAATGTTATTTTAGTTTCACATCGAAATATGCATTTTTCTTATTCACGGGAAAAAATTATTTAATTTTAAAAGTTACTTGACAGCCAGGTCATACTCGGAGACCTTCCCTATTCCAGTCCAGGCTATAAATTTCGACGAGGATTAGGTAAAGTAAACAGTATAAATGCAGAATTGAGCCCACGCAAAGCTGCAAATAGAAGTCTCCAGAACCGGAAAGACTTTTTTTCCAACTAATGGCAGAAAATCCGAAGTCCTCTGTTTACG